TTACTTCATGACCATCGTAGATCCCTCCCACAATGGAAGAAAGGGGTGGTGAAGAAGGTCGTTTCAAACGACAACACCTCATCTTACCCCACAGATTTCCGTCATTGACAGTAAGGTCTTAAATGTACAGGCCTAGCATATCAAAAACTACTCACCAAAGGGTTGTTTGTGGCTGATCCCAATTACTTGTTTCTTGGGTACTGCGGTCACGTTCTCAGGTCGTCAAGACTGATCCTAACTCAACATCATTTTGATGTACCTTAACAAGAAGTGTGAGGAAATTAGAAGTGAAATCCACTCTCAAACTTGTGACAGCTCTTAAAACCAGATTTTACTTCAAATTTTAAAGGTCACCAAATCACTGTTAGCTTTCGTAAGAGAAAGGCAATCTAGTAATTTTAAATATTATTTAGTTGAGAACATTCTTCATACATAAATAAATGCATAGATGTTACGTCGTGCATAGACTAAGGTTCCAAACACGATTTGGTTTTTCGTTTTATTCAAAATGGCCATATACGAGTAATTGGGTACCATTAAAAATGATGAATGATTAACTACCAAACGATATTTCGATTACTACTAAATCCAATTTAACGTTATACTGTGATAAGATTGTAATAGTTTCATTTTCTTATAATAAATACGAGTAGTATTATGAGGCTCAACTAAATGACTGGTACATTAAAAAGTTATTAGTGAAAATGATTTCCACATACTTTGTCGCACTAAACAGTCATGGCATAGGTCACTCCAGTAATCAATAATTTGTACTTCTGCTGTCTATAAAATTAAGTTATTGTGTCCGAAACTCGTCTATAACACTGAGGACACTTTCGAAAACTCTCAAGAGTATTCTGGCTCCATTTAACAAACTGAATAAGAAAAATCATTAATATGCACAAATACTGATGACAATGAGTCACATGCCTTATTGACTGTTACATCTATCGAAGCGTCTAGGTCACCCGATTGAGATACGCGCGAAACCGAAGTTCCAAAACAACGATTTGTCTACAATAGCGATTCTTTATTGAACAATACACTAAATTTAGTTACAAACCTCAATTTGTGAGGTGTCTAGAGCGTTTAAACGCGTCCTTCAAGTATGAAAATAAAAAGCTTCCTGTAACAGTAACATAAAAAATAATTATAACATACGATAGTACAACCGACAGCTGACAACAGTTTATGAACAACCGAAACCCGAACTAAGAGTAAAACAATATGGTAACTGTTGCGTTTAAAAAAATGCACGAAACTGCGGATAACCGCTGCAGTGATTAAGATACAGTAATTAAAATGATAAGTACAATAAACGTAATAAATATATATGAATATTTTAGAATGTCACACTACAACTTGCGTTACAACATAGCTGTAAACATTGTTAGGAATACAACTGCTTACTGAATGTAAATAAGTAGTACAAAACAATATACAAAAGAATGGAAAGGGAGCGAGTGGAACAATGTAAGACAAACTTAACATTCACAATAGATAGCAATCGATTATGGAGAAGTTCTAACAAGTCACTTAGTGTTAGCTAGGTTTCAACAGTGAAACCATTGGAGTCAGAGAACGCAACATTACTGAAAGCGTCATCTATGATAATAACTATATGAAAAAAACAGGGCAATCATATACAAAACAATGGCTTTCTCAAATGCAATTATCACAAATTGAATTCACGTTTATTGTCAGTCAGCACAGCCTGGGATAAATATTTATCAGCACTCATTTTGCTACACATGAAATCAGCATAACAAAATAGATATAATAGGACTGATAGTGAGATAGGTTAAACATTTTGAATATCGTTCAAGAAGATGTTTATACACGAATACTGAAACTGATTTTCACAGTGAATGGATCTAAATCATTGTAACCGATCCTAAGTCATGTTACCCAATGTTTTCAGCTATCGCACTGATCTCAACACGGTAGTCCTCGAAACTATAAGCAATATAATTCTCAAACTTGTAAGATCTATTTCAATGATAAGAATCCGTCTGTTTGATGAAATTCAGTTTATCCTTTGAAAAGGGTAATCACTTCGTTAACACATAATTAGTTTTTAATAACTAAGTCTTATTATGAAATTTGTTTAAGAACTAGAAATTTTCAGTCGGTCGATCTCTGAACAAGATAAACGAAATGGAAATTTTTCACATCGAGAAGTTTGTGCATTATTCAGTTAATTTAATCTCTAAAAAAGCTATTCCATATTTAGTTCCTCTCTGTTTACGCCATACTACTTACTACTCAGTAGTTTGAATTCAATTCGAGGTGTTTTGGATTGTCTCGTCATCGGTATTTTTCGATTTGAACTTAATCAGTCTTGGTTAGCATATGTGCGGATTGCGTCGATACAGCTGTTACGGAACATGTTGATATAGACTACATGGCATGTAGCCAGCACTGGAATCCATGATGTGTACTTCGTCTCATTTGGGACTCATCAGCTGAATGTACCTGTATCCCACAGTTCAGATTTTGATGATAACTCGGTAGCTTTTTCAGAATCCTGGTACCGATTCTGTATTGCTTTTCAGGATTTATATATATGACTACATAGTCGGATGACAATCCCTATACAGATTCCGTTGAAATTCTTCCATCCGGTAAGTTGTGTTGTCATGAAATGAATAGTTATTGTTAAGGCGGTATTGTGTCCTCCGAATATTATGTATGGAACATTCAGGTTTATTTTGGGTCCTTTCCATAAAACCTTCGAATGCCCAAGACTTTTCTGGAACTGACGTCAGAGAATCGAATAAACTCCTTAATAATAACTATCTGAAACAAAAGTAAATTTTCGTAATTAACACTTTGGATACAATAAAGGTTTTAAATTTTGCAACTCAAGTGGCGTCCGTCAAGGCTGTCCACTTTTCCCATTTTTGTTTAAATTCATCATAGACCCACAGTTAGAAATAACGCTCTCGTCCACTGAATTTTCGGGCATTAATCTCTTACCAGGAGGTCCACCTATCGACTTAGAATACGATGAGGATATAGTCCTGTTTGGTGAAGACGCTGATAAAATGCAGAGTATTCGGGTAGCACTGGGCAACAATGCCAGAATTTTTGGAATGCGCTTCTCCCTCTCTAAATGCAAGTTGTTGCTTCAGGACTGGCTTGCGTCAATACCTGAACTAAGGATAGGGAGTGAAGTGGTCGAACGCGTTGACAACTTCACTTATCTTGGGAGTCTGATCAGCCGTAATGGGTTGGTGTCTGACGAAATTTCAGCATGGATTCAAAAAGCTTCTTATAAAATAATCTGAAGATTGTTTATTTATACTTTCACAAGTTTGAAAAATTCCCATATTGTGATTTAGAACAGCTGCTCTTGTGCGCACTACTAGACAACTGAGCCGAGTTAGTGAACACATTCTCTTCGTGGTTAGGAAACGGTACCGTCAAAACAATACGCAGCTCTGTTCTACCACACATGATCGATAGCGGTGATGTAGTAGACAGAAGTAGGTCATTTAAAGTGATTTATTGTATTCCTACTAGTTTTCCTTATGAGGTTCGATCTCGTGTCTTACATATAGCAGAAGCTATAGGAATTCGAGTTAACAATCCAAGTCTTTGGTTAACATTAAATGCACGGCCACTTTTTGATCCCCATTTACCAGTAATTTTCATTCTCTTCCGTCCAATCAAATAAGCTAGTTTTAAATTCCTTATAATTGGTCGTTTATTTCTTAAAATTGATATAAAATGACGACAGAGCACACTTTCTCACAATTATGGACGGTAGTAGCGTACAAAGCACGAGCTCTGTCGTTTCATACGTTGTCACAGAAACCGATAATCTATACTCTTTTTCGTTTATTTTTTTCACCCCCTCCTAACTTTTCCGAATATACACTTCATTATCCAGTTATCCGAACACTTCTTATTACGTAGACTTAGTTTTATGAATGTTATTTCATTATCTATATTTGACCTATTTTCCATTATGAAACATCGATACAAGCCTATATTATTCTTATCACAACTAGTACACATGTCATCACATGAATTTGTACTTTTACCTATTATGCTTATTTATATAATCTATTCCACTCGTAAAATGCCTTGATTAGTTTGATAATTTCGTTTGTGCATATAAATATTACTGTATAATAAAGTAAAACTTAATGAGGAACTAACTGAAAACAATCTTGTTCGCTTATATATGTTGTTCGATTTCCACAAGTAACTATATGATATGACTGTTAACGAAAGTAACCTATGGCATTATTGAAAAAAGAATTAAGATAATTATTCAGCAAAGAAATTGTTGAAAAGAAAATTTCCTTCAGTGAATTCTGTTGATTTGATTGTTGTTTAAAATGTCTCTGTAAACACTACATCATATTTCTATCAAATCAATCTTACCATATCGTATTACATTATCGAGTACTAAATGCCCTGGTACAGCCGAGAGTAGGGAGAGTCAGCTCTCCCTCTCGAAATGCTCTCATATGGCCACATGCATATAACCACTAACAGGGAAGTTCTACTCACTGTCTTCTCGCAACGAGGATGTTGTTTACGGAATTGAGAGGATGAAAAGCGAATTTCCGGCGCTTTAACCGGGTTGGCGGACACGGAGAGTCCACTTAGGGGAGTTGAAGAACTCTGATTCCAAACCAATCGTGTACATGAGCTCCAGTATCCTGAAGGAACAAATGGTGTATGGACCAATGGTTGGTCACCGACTACTGTGAGACTACATCTCCTGACGTTGCTTCACTGCCTTGTGGATCAGACCCTTTAGGTCAAAGACTCCGGGTGTGGTCCCCTAAGAAAACTAACTGCTCCGGTTTGGGCACCCGATCGGTTTCTCAGCCTTAACATATATCGAATGATTTATGTGTCGCATATCTGTTTGGTACCTCATTGTACCAATGTTTATGTGCTTAAACAAATAAATATCGAAAATACATAAAAGAACAAATTACTGGTGGAAAAATCTGATTTAGTTATTGTAAAAAAAACCTGTGATAAGAAAATATAAACGAACTCGGTGCATAATATGTGCAGAATGACTCAATAATATTGTTCTAATCTATGAATGTGTTAAGCAAAATCATTGTTGTTTATTGAATTTTCGGTAGATAATCTTGAATGCATAAATATGTAAAGAGAAAAAGTAAAAAAAAAACATCGTAGGTAAATATACAAAAGGATCTGAAAGGAGAGAAGAAAATGAAAGAGTACTGAACAATCACATATACATAAAAATACATATGCAACCAACTTTAATTTGTATTATTATCATCATTATTTACAAGTGGGAGAGTTAAACATCGTTTTCGACGTTTGGCGAGGCGCCGTTTTTGGCTACGACTTAATTGTGTGCACATATTTTCAGATAGCCGATTGATATGCTCAGATCTTATTATTCCATTACAATTTGTTGATGAAGTATTGTTCATACGAATATTTGTACTACTACTGTTATCGTTACTATTATTGGGAGCTATATACTTTAAAGTCGGTTGTAACGGTGTCAATTCATTATTAGTATTATTGTCATTACCATTATTATTATTATTATCGTTATTATTATGAATAGTTCGACGCTTTTTGTTAGAAGGCGGCTGTTCAAAGTCAGATGAAGTTATTTTCATTTTTAATGGGAAATTTCTATTTGTTTGATTTGACGGACAATTGATCAATATTGATTTCGGTATATTTTCTGTAAGTGATAACCATGACTGATCAATTATCGAGACATGTCGCATAAATACACGATCATTTTGTTCAATTGGATTGTTACATTGAAATTTGTATTCACTACTTGTCACAGCTTCAATGAAGAGTAAACATGGAGGTGGATTATTCAATGAAGATGTGTATAATTGCGATTCTGGATGAATCAACAATTCCTGAGGTGAATTTGTTGACAAATTGATGGTTTTATTTTGTACATATACGGGATGCCGAGAGTTTTTAATCAATCGTTGAGTATCACCTTTGTACATTTTTGACAATTCAGAAAGAATTACAACCTACACGAATGATAAATGAAATAAAATTCAAGTCAAACAAATAATAATCACATTAAATCACCATATAATATTATAAATGATCTATTCGTAATCAATTATATTTGACGGGAATAAATATCCCTGACACAAGGCGAAAGAGGTAATTTTGTTTAATATTGCCACACAATTCCGTTAAAATGTACAACAGTTAAGCTAAAAGGAGTTTTGTGAAGACTGTTGAATTTCCATAGCTTAGATTACAACCCGATCGTAGTTAAACCATTATCAAAAACCACGGAGCGTTGGATAGCTGTTTTGTCCTAGCATTGGACTCCCCAACAGTACACACATCCACTATACCATCAAACAACTAACCCAGAACTGACTAGTTTTGGGACGAACGCTTAACCATAAGAACCATGGAGTTAATATCCGATTGAACTTATTACCAAATTCAATTAGCTAGATACTAATAATCATTAAAAGTGACCCCAGTTCGCCTAGGTGTAGTAAACTTGAAGCAGTGAATTGAGTGTCCAAGTAACCGGGGAACATATATTGGTCCCACAATAATCACTAATGATAAAAAACTCAACTTTTAATGAGTCAATGGGTTGGCATGTCTATGTTGGGAATAGTTGGAATATACTGACTAACTGTTTTATAACCATCCAACCTAGATAAACAATTTCAAGTGATATACAAACTTTTATATAAGAAATTTTGGTGAGATTATAATTTATGGATGGCCTTTGAGAGACCCTAAAGTGGCCTTGGGAATGTCCACCTACCTACTAGGGCTAAATGAGGGTTATAAACCCGTGTGAAGAATAAGCACTATGATTTACAGTTAATAGTTAGGGTTTCCATTACAAACTAACGTCAGCTAAAGTGCTAAGACGCTCTCTGACCAAACGGATGAGTGAATTTCACGCCGAAATCCAAGACCTGATATCATGAATCTGAGCGGTTTGTCCATAAATTATAGTCTCGCCTAAATTTTATTTTCATTTCTCTACATTATATTTAGAACTTCGTCTTATGTCCAGCCCATTGCCTTTTTTAATTATTGTCGAGCAGAGTCAATTATATTAGCTAAAGATTGTTTCGTTTTTGATCCCATACATAAATAAATTGAAAACTTATTTAAATATTCGCTAATAAGTAATGCTAACAATATTTACCTGGTCTTGAAAACCTGACAAAAGAAAGGCTTGCACAATTTTTTCTACATTTGTTCCACATGAATGCATATAATTAGTCAATCCTGTACTTTGGGTAATCTGTTTTAGTTGACCACGTACACGTACAGCTGTTTCTAGACGAGATCTGTTTATAAAATTAGCACGACACCATTGAAGCTTTGAATTACGCTTGGACAATTTACATTTTGACGGAGACTGTGTAGAAGAATCTATATTTGATTGAGAATTTTTCGAATTGACTGATTTCTCTGAACGAGCATCTTTAGTAGCTTTAATAAATCCACGATAAACTAAAAGAAGGCTGACGAGGTCACCAGATGGATGACGAAACCGAGACTGAACCTACATACAAGTAGACCATATTACATACATTAGCTAAGATTTAAAAAAGGATAAAAACGTGACATATGATGAGAAGGACAAAAATATTTAATCCAAAATACTTAACACAATTGTATTGCCAATCGTGTCACGAATTTACGATATGAAAATAGAAAGAATATGTGTACGATCAAAACAAAACGAGATGGTTAACTTTCATCTTATAAGTGTTTATTGTACACTGAAATTGTGTTTCGGTTTACTTAACATGTACAGATCTGTATACTTTGTATCCAGTGTTCGTGTAAGAACTAGTGATACTACTACCAGGCTGCCGAAACCGAAATAGATGGAGTAAGGGGTTTGAAACCATGGACTTGCTTGTTTGGAACTTGAATGTTTTAGTCACTAGGCGATCGGTTCACACTCGATTAATTATTATTCTAATCTATTATACTAGCATGTAATCATATCGTTTGCAAGCAAAGTTATTAGTTCATTTATAATAGTAATGTTATGGTTTTCTAAAAGAGGAAGCTACACTTGTCATCAAATATGAGAATATAAGGATTATAACGTTTGTGCTGAAAATTCTCATTAAGAAACAATTCTTTTCAGGGTACAATAGTTGACCAAACAGCTTGACACTGAGAAGGAAGTTGATGGTAAAAAAAATCCACATTTCTCAATCGTAATAGTAATAATCATGTACTCAACCCATGATTAACTTCGGTCTTTTGAAATACATTTTTAATCATATATATCTCGATGTGCTAATGGCAACTTGTGCTAATAGTCTTTGTGTATATGAAGACTATCTGTTATTAGTTTCGTGGTTTTAACGAGGGATCATGGTCAGGAAATTAATAGTGTCAAGAGTTACACAATTAGATATCACTGTGATAGTATTAGGCGATGGTTGTGAATGAATAAGAGTTGAATTACTTTCAATAAACAGTGACTTTAAAATGAATCCCATTCATTTTAGCTGACAATTTAACCAACAAAGATGCAGTTTTATGCATATTCATTTTGTCGAATATATCGGGTAGAAATGATTGAGTATTGTATGAATCGAAAAATAACACTCCGAAAAGGTTCTATATACCAAGAACAGTAGTATTTTGAGACAAAGATCCTTAAGATTTGTTTGACTATGAGTATAGTGGTTATATATATAAATTTGCGGTTGTATGAATGGAGATAATAAATGATACGTTGGAACAATCAAACATAGGTGAAATGATGAATGAGATGCTGATGATCAAAGTCTTCTGATGAAATAGACATACGCAATTGGTTGAAAATGCGGTTTAATTCACGATAGATATATATATGAATGATTTGTGTTGGTTGCGCTAGTTAGTCAAAGCAAACTACTGACTTTTGGTTTACTCGATCAATTGGTTGGTTTGCGCAAATGTAAAGAAAAAGCTTATATCAGAAGCAGACGCAGGCGACCATAGAGCATAACAGCAATACAGTTTCAATTGTGATGTATTCAAAAGACAGACTAACTTAGAGTCATATTTTTTTTTAAAAAAAAGGAGAAAAAACTTTACCAAACTTACATCTGAAAATTCATTGCGTTTCTCAACTGGCACATAAAACACAGGACAAACATAAAGCATACTTATAATACTTAGTATTTCGATTAGACAACCTAAATAAGCGGCAGAAATCAATGTTCTGGAAAATCTTGGCTCCAATGGGAAAGCTGACATAAGTCGTCCAAGAACTGTTAGCTTAAATAAATTTAAAAACAATGGAAATCAATAACAATTTACAAGTATATGGTAATAATCTAAAGTAGAAGAAACACTAATGGCCTTAAATTTGGCCATTTTTTCTGATCATTAGTTTTAATTTATAACTGTGAAACTTGATGTGAGAATTTATTAAAAAATAATACTGTTTAATTCCTAAGTATTTGTATTTTCCCCCTTGTTGTTGATGTTAAGGTCTGCACAATTGATCAGTAACTAGTGGCACATGTCCATCCTGATTTACTCGATATTTCCATATAGTCATGAGTTTTATCTAAGTCAGGTAGTGACCAGCAGTGGAACCCAGGATGGGCAGTTCGATCTGTTTGGAACTCATCAGATAAGTGTGTTGATATTTACATTGAGACTCGAACACCGTATCTTCCGCATAAGTACAAAGACAAAAGAAATAAAAAAGTGGGTTGCACTTAAGAGAATATAATATCCAAATTCACCGGGAAGCTAAGCATGAGAAACATAATTTAAACGAAATAAATGAAATCAGATACAAGAAAGCATGAGATGACATTAAACTTAAACTTTAGAGCAAAATAAAGAATTGATGCAATTATTCTTCCGTTTCAACTTGAAAGCCCGTATATAATAATATGGTTCAGGTCAACAGTCAGCAACTTGACGATTTTACACTGACCGCCCCTTTAACTTTTCGAGGCTTCGACTGACAATGGACGTCTGAGTAGGCGATGGCTAAACACTTATTAAATGTATGAGTAACCAATGATAAGACTGACCTAATTATTATTAAATAACTTACAGAGAGTGGGTAGGGAATTTTTACAGAATCATTTAATTTATTTGAATCCGTGCTAGTTATTGCCTCTTGAACGCATTTGGAAGATAACGGTTCTACTTCATCATCATCCACTACAACAGCACCTAACTGAAGAAGTAGTTTGATCCCAGCTTCAATAGAGGACGGTTTAGGCGAAGATAGCCATGGAAATTGGGTAGGATTCTAAGTGCAAACACAACAATCACGTTAATAGATATGAATCAAGCATCAACGAAATCTAACATTGAAATAATAGTAATAAAAGTCTAGTGAAAATTCTCATTTTGACATTTGGTAAGAAGAACGAATAGAACGAAGAAACTTCTTTTCAATTAGCTTTCATCATGGCACTACACTATTTTATATATATGTAGGATTTACAATAGTGGAATAACACTCATCGAGTTGTTGCCTTGAGTAATGATATAATGATATAATGTCACATTGGTTATATATTCATTACGAAACGCAACTACTAGAGGAGAGTTATTTCATTGCTGTACATTATATATATGTGTATAGAGCCATGAGGAAAAATTTCTTTGCTCGATTCGTTCTTTTCAGAATGAATGACAAAGAATTTTACTAAATTGCTCGTAGAAAGACGAAAATAACTCCTGCTATTTACCAGGTAGGTAAGGTGTTAACAAACTGATAGTATCTCTTGGTTGTAGCTGGTGGTGATTAAACTTGCTGATTGTGATGAATTGATTGGATTTGATTAAGTCGACATATTTGTTGCCAGGATATTTATTATGTCAATACAGTTGGTTATAAAGTAATAAACTTAAAAAATTGAAATCATAAAATCGACATTTTATTGCTAACTACAGTATTGGTTAACAAAAGTTGAATAATTCCTACAAATAGTCAGCATCTTTAAAGGTGAAGCACCGTTAAAAACAGAAAGATGGGCTGTACAAAATTACTCAAATCTATTACCGCTTGGGGTATAAATTACTAATTAAGGATCTATAAGAAAGCGGTACAACTTTATTTCTTTATTCCATTTTTGACTGCATTTCCATTCATTTATTTATTTAAATACACAAACATTGGTACAATGAGGCACCAAACAGATATGCGACACATAAATCATTCGATACTGACCGGATAACCAAACCGAAACAGGTGATTTTCGTAAGGGACAACACCCGGAGTCTTTGACCTAAAGGTCTGATCCACAAGGCGGTGGAGCAACGTCAGGAGATGCCGTCTCACAGTAGTCGGTGACCAATGACTGGTTCATACGCCGTTTGGTTCCCCAGGATCCTGGAGTCCATGTGTACCATTGATTTGGAATCAGGGTTCTTAAACTCCCCTAGGTGGACTCTCCGTGTCCGCCAACCCGGTTAAAGCACTGGACATTCGCTTTTCGTCCTCTTAATTTCGTAAACAACATCCTCGCCGTGAGAAGGTAGTGAATAGAACATCCCTGTCAGTGATTGTATGCATGTGGCCATGTGAGAGCATTCGAAGAGGGAGAGTTGACTCTGCCCACCCTCGACCGTACCAGGGCATATACATCCGACTGCGTGTTTTTACTTTTTGAGATTAAATCAAATCAACTCACTCACCAAGTACTTAAGTATGAGCTGCACTCTAAGTGTGAGGGTAAATGATGCTGTAGTTAACGAGAACACAGGCGTGGATAACCAAAAGTATATGAATGCAAAATCTGAGAACCATAAAGTAAATACTTCATCTGCAAAATATTCATCAATTGTCTCAGACTTTGTTGTTCCTTCGTTTCCATACCAATCACTCTCTTTTCTCGTTCTCTTCTCCTCGATTTTCTCAAACTCCAGATGCCATGCATTCCACTTTCGAATGGTGATATATACTACTTATATCTGTCGACATCAGTAGCACACATCACAATACTACCCAAAAACCAAACATGAAGCAAGAGAAACGGATTCGAACCTCAAGCTTAGTAGATGAAATTTGAGCATCTTAACCATTAGGTCACAGCTTTATTCTTCTTACCTACAATACTATTACTTATGAAATGAGAAAAAGTATTTTACACTAGTAAGTACTATGACTAGATTTTATGCTGTTTATTTTTCTATCAAGTAGCATTAAAACGTACATAAGTGGTTGGGAAAGATACGAAACGTACATGTATTTCATATGTTATCAAATAGGAAAATCGATGGGCACAATGCAAGGCCTAGGTTTTATATATCAGAATAAATAAAGATATGCATACCTTAGGAAAAATAAAACCCTAAGTATAAGTGTGTGTAGAGGGAAAGAATTAATTTGAAACAGGGTAAAAGTTAGTATTACCCAAAATATGTGCCCGAACCGAGAAAGTCTTTGGAAATGTTTTTAGGTCACATATCTATTTTTATATGTACATACGGATTAAAACAATTTGATTTTAGAAAATCTAAGTAAATGTGCAACCATCAAGCATGAGGTGTAACTAGACGATTACTTGATAATAACGAAAATTTTGTCAATACTAAACAGTGCAAAGAGCCATTTATACAATTCCATGAGAATAAAAAGTACGAAAGTAGTATTAATAAGCGTAGAATAGATACAGGTTAACAAATGAATATTTTATATATGTACTGGTACTTTTGGAGAAGGTAAACGTAAAACCTTGAATGTGTTCTTGGTGGGCCTAAGTTAATGCGACTGCCATGTATGTATTCCATGATTACTTCTCAATAACCTGTAATGCGACTGCCATGTATGTATTCCATGATTACTTCTCAATAACCTGTTCACAGTCACAGTTAAAAAATGTAATTAATGCCTAACTTCGAAGTGCGATTCCAGGGGGAAACCTTAGCTAGTGGAGTCGCACCATGTCGGAAGTGGGACAGTTATTCACTGCATATAGTATGAGATGGTCACTTGATATCGTGAATCCATTATAGCTAAGTATGGACACTATTAAGTACATAGTAGTCTAAAGGTTAGGAGGTCGCGGAGAAACCTAAGATCCTGGCTTTGATCCCCTATGAGGTTGTGAATGTGTACTGATAAGAAGCCCCATACAAAGAAAATAGTTGTCCAGTGCCTTCTGGTTCTCAGTGGTTGTTTAACTAAGATCAGTCCATGATGTAAGCTGTGAGAAATATAATTATTCCAAGTATGTGAAGTGTTATGATCAATAGGATTAATGTGGTTCAGGTACATGGAACTAAAAGGATAATATCTAGTTGAGATTTTGGATGTACGCTTTTTGTGTGTACAAAATAGAGGTAATCTTATTGTATACATATAATCAGATGAAATAATCATCAGTATACAATGCAAATCATGTGAAATATGCTGATGAATTGAGAATTGTGCTTGTTGATATTATCAAAAAGAATGAAAATAATAAAGGTATACATGAAGAATAATATTTACATGTAATTAATATACTCAGATTACAGAATGATTTTTAATGTGATTCAATACTAATTGATGGTTATATAGGAAAACGAAGTGTTAAAATCTATGGACTAATTTTCTATGTACAAATTAGTTAGGAAAATTTCAATCAAAATAACCAAATCGACCATATATTTAACAAACGAAGATGTAAATACTTTGAAAGTTTCTTTGGTGCTTTATATATGACAGTAAATGGTGAGCATCTTGTTAATTTTATGTGTGACGCCAAAAAGGTGCCGCTCTATGATGCTAAAAATTTCGTACGAATTAGTCCCAATGGTATCATACCAGCTTAATAACACTTTGACGGTCCCCACGTGATAGGGGGCACAGATGATTTTAGGTGGGTGGGTTTTCTTTAGCTGATCTAACGACTTAACAAATAACATTCTTACATTTTTAGTCGGAAAAGGGGGGTGTTCGACATAATCAAAATGAGCGCCAGACACAAGTGGGATAGCGAATTAGTGGGTATATCAGGGTGTACAGGGGTACCCTTTAAACGGATGTATCCAAATCACAAATGACGCTATTTTAATTGTAGTACATCTTTTTAGAGCATCTCGATGACTCATTCAACGTCTTTTTTCCAATTATTGAACTGTTTGAGTATTTATAACCTTTTTCTGCTCTTGGAGCTCAGTCAACAAGAGAGCTTGTGAAAGATCCATGGCACGGCAATACCTTTCTGGTATTCATCTTCGTTCGCTACAGTTAACTCAATTAGTTGTCTGTGGCCAGTTAGCTACGTTACCGAAAACTTATAACATCCCCATGGTCTCTAGAGGGAATGAAATGAAAACTATTAGGAGCAGTTAAATCGTAATAAAAACCATATGAAAGGCATAGTAATTATTTAGTAACTAAACGATGTACACATAAATGACAGTAGCAACAATAAACATAACAGAAAATGTGACTTTATAAGAAAAGTTTGTAAGAATACAACTCCAACAACTCACTAGAAATTTCCAAGATTTAAATATCGTTTTTAGGATATCAGAACAATTTTGAACAAGTAAGTAAGTAGATTCCATACACTGACTCAAAATGTGTTGTAAAAACGTTCTACACAATACCGTATGTATTAAATGCATTAACGATCATAGATTACGAGTAATCTAAAACCATTTACTTACCTTTATATTCATAGATACAAGGTTCAGTAAAACTCCACTAAGTGGAGCTTGCAACATTTGCGGTCTAGGTTGAAGTGGCATATTTTTATATTCTGAATCAGTATATAATCGAAGACAAACACCTGCTGCCTCACGTCCAGCACGACCTGAACGCTGCCATGCTTGTCCTTTGGAAATCCATTGAACACGAAGACATTCAAACCCGGTTTTAGGATCCCAGTCTCTATTAGAATAATTAACAAGAAAAATAACTTGCTGAAATTTTTGTATACTTCCGTTTTAATAACTATTGAATGAAATGACGATCATCAATGATAATATATATTTTTCCCTTATTCTTTCATCAGGTATAAGTCTGTGTACTTGGCTATGAGTCGTATTCTAAATGTGAAAGTTAGTGATACGCCCTCCAGTCATCCGAGCAATAGGTGAAGAGCAATTCGAAACTGGGAATTAGTTTATAGAATAGACAGATTAGAGTTAACAGTGGAATTCTGGACTCACTTTTCGCACTATTTAGAACTCGTCAATTGTATGTACCTACATCTCAGTGTTGATATTTACAGTGGGTCTCGAACCAAGTGCTCTCTGCTTCAAATGGCCGACGCGTTATCTACTGAGTCTAGACAGCCAATCATTTGTGAAACGGGTAAAATAACCATATAATTGTTTGTAATATTAGCTGACAATGGAATAATTCAAATCCTTTCTAATAATGATACTGAGACATGGTGGTTCAGAGTTAAAACACAACGACTGAGCCACACTATACAGTAAAGACTGATAATTAAATGATTTTATCAAGTGTAAAGTGATAGATCAATGGTTTTGAACAACAACCTACTCTTTAAGGAAACAATAATTGATTAATTTTTTTAGTTTAATTAATAGTTGTGATTAATATTCACAAACTAACATGGATAAATGGCACCTTAATTAATCAATCCACAACTTTTAATTTCAATGGCTATAATGAATGTGAGTTGTATTCTGTATAGTTCAAGAAAATATTGTCCAACTTTTACATAAGTAACCAATCAGTTCCTGGTAGAGTTAGACTCAGTTACTAACAAGTTAGTTATATCATACTATCAATTAACTAGTGAACAACATGTAAGGTTAATATACATATTGAACCTACTTAATTAGGTTTTGGTATTAAAATTTGTTTTATATTTTCACTTCAATATATTGATATAAAGTAGTATGTAGAATAGACAATGTTTATGTACTAAAGAATGTGATCTAGTATCACGTTTTCTATTAGTGAATATAAATTATGAGGACTGTGAGAAAATAGATCATAATGATTTGTTGAAATTTTCTTAAGAATTAAAAACTATGACCACAAAGAATAGAGCAATAACATTCTAATTAGAAATCATGTTAAAATGTGAAAATTGTACTTTTAAAACACTTGAATACAGTAATAATAAAAAGATACTGTGGTGTGTGCTACTTATATTGACATAAGTAGTAGATGATGTTAGTCGTGAACAGAAGGTCTGGCAGCAGGGAGAGAGAGAGAGAGACAAGAGGATCGGACAGTAAAGAATGGAAACAGAATGCAATTTGTATGAAATCATGTTAAAATGTGAAAACTATAATTTTAAAACACTTGAATACAGTAATAATAAAAAGATACTGTGGTGTGTGCTACTTATATTGACATAAGTAGTAGATGATGTTAGTCGTGAACAGAAGGTCTGGCAGCAGGGAGAGAGAGAGAGAGACAAGAGGATCGGACAGTAAAGAATGGAAACAGAATGCAATTTGTATGAAATCATGTTAAAATGTGAAAATTATAATTTTAAAACACTTGAATACAGTAATAATAAAAAGATACTGTGGTGTGTGCTACTTATATTGACATAAGTAGTAGATGATGTTAGTCGTGAACAGAAGGTCTGGCAGCAGGGAGAGAGAGAGAGAGACAAGAGGATCGGACAGTAAAGAATGGAAACAGAATGCAATTTGTATGAAAATTCAAGAACAATCAAATCTGAGTCATTTTAAGACAATTGATGGACATTTTGCAAATTAAGTATTTATTTTATGATTGTTAGATTTTATTAACAAGTCCTGTAATTTTGTGTCAAACACATCCGATTGTTTCCCACTGGTGTTCTTGTTCACTACAATACCAATGTGTTTATATGGCAATGATACATAGATGTCCTATACTGAGGTCATGCTAGGACTGATTCAAAATCAATGGCATATGAAGTAATAATTTGAATGAACAAATTATCCATTTGTTAGATAGATTAGCTGTCTTTTATTTATTATATATTATTTTACGATGTATATATGCAATGCATTGAAAGCCTTGCTCTATTAACATAGTTTCAATTGCCTGATTGTTTTCATTTTTCATTACCCCTAGGTACCCTGGTACGACCAAGACTCTAGAGAATTTAACCTTCCTCTAGAAATGATCTTATACGGTCATGGGTTTGTGGTCTATTAAACGCTGAGCACTACATTTCTGATAAATAATACTTTCTTGTAGTGTAGTTTTGGGTAGGGACATTCATGTGACTCAGTAGGAAACAAGATAATGGAGAGTGAACATTCATTATCACTTCGTGTTACTTAGTCCAATCCTATTTAAATTAATGTTTGGAGACCTGAATAATTCTTCGGAAAAGTCTTCAAAAGCTGAGAAAAATACTTCGATTGACTAATTGTAAATAAGGACTTTTCAGTGTTTTGGAAAGTTGATGGGATATGTGTCATCCTCTGATTGAATAATTACCGATTTCCTTATCGACCTTCCAGAAGGCCAAAAAGAAAAATATAAATATTCTTGTTTTCTATACTTAAGCTAACCTTGGAAGTAAAACGTTTCCTTATGCTTCCCGTCTTTTTATATTCTGTTTGGAACTCAAATAGTTAGGAAATCAGTGTTATATATATATATATATTATATATATATATATATCAATTATCATATCGACTTAATTGTTTACATCAGTTCGTAAAATGAATGGATTTCATTGATTAGATAAAAACTGTATAGCAATAAAAGGAACAATGTGACTTGTAGTTGAAGATTAAAAAACGGTCTTTTTAACAAAAAGAAGTGACAGAAACGATTATATATCGATTAGAAGAACCTACTTTATTTTTGCGCGCCCACAATCTATCACATAACGTACACCTGGGATAGTGATGGATGTTTCTGCTAAATTTGTACTGACAATCACTTTACGCGCATTCTAGATTAAATGGCAAAGAGAAAAGTGAAACATATTGAAATGCAAGGTGTTGATGTGTAGTATTGATTATAAGAACAATAGTTATGAAATCATAAACTAATCCAAGGAAGTTTTATAACGGCTTGATCTTTGAGAAAAAACTCAGAATCTGTGAATACATGTTCAAGTCATCAATCTGGAATCTTTAGACTACAAACAGAAGCTTCTACACCAAATTGGTTCAGAAATACATATACTCACATGGTTAACCACTGCGTAAAAACACTTTTTCATTGTTGATAGCAGTAATAAAAAATAATACGCAATCAATCAATCTGCTCAGTGGAAGTATGTAGTAAATGAACATATAATACATCCAAGAACAAACACATCAAATCACAATCTCAAGTGCGACTATAGACGATGAGAACTGGAAATTATAACAGTCGTTGACGATCTATAATTGATTCATTTCACTAATCAACCGTACAAACAAATATTTGGCAATCCAATAAGTTAATATGATCGACAATATGGTTGTCTCTTTTTATGCTACAATAATAAACACGGAATGCTGATTATTTCTGTTTGTGATTGATGTTTTGAGTATTCATTTCATGTAAGCACATCTATTTAAACAAAACGTATGTTCTTCCAAGTGTGAATTTATAAGAATGCTATTAATGATTAACTGTGAAAACTAAAATCATATTGTGAATAGCTGACCAATATTCCAAATTATGAAGTCAGTTAGTTGAAAGAAGTTGGTAATAAATCCTGGATATGCATTTTATGATGGTTAGCATTCATTAAGTTTCAATAGTAACCGCAATCGAGAGGGAACTATTGATACTTCTAATTTGATTCACACTCACATCATTCATTGTTACAGTCAAAAACATGTATCAATCAACTACTCAGAAGTGACTCTTGATTAGGAACATTTCAACATATTTTCAAAGTTGGATTCACGAGTCGATCTAAGCTGAATCACGACTGAAAACCTGCAAACACTGGACGGCCGTTTCTTCCTAGCATGGGACTCCTTGGCATTGTTCATCCTGCTTGCGGAACGCGAACCCAAGATGTTCGGCCTCGCACGTGAACGCTTAACTTATAAACCACTGAGCCGATATACAATAGTGAAGGCTTGAGCAAGATCAAGGACCGATTGAAATTAGACATTAACATTTTTGAATGAAGGCTCAGTGATCTGAAGGTTAAGTGTTCGTGCGCGAGAACGAAGGTCCTAGGTTTGAGTCCCATGTGCTAGATCGTGGGTGCACACTGACGAGGAGTTCCATGCTAGGACGAAATAGCCATTCAATGCTTCCAGGTTTTCAGTAATGGTCTAGCTTAGATCGACTCGTGAATTCAACTTTGAAAATACTACAATCTCCACAAATCCACAATACTGATAATCTAACATGTTTTCTTTTTATTGAGGAAACTAACGACTAGAATTTAGTGAATAATCATTACAATTTAAATTAATGAGATATATTAAACTATTTTTTCCAGTCCAATTATATCTCTAAAAACACCAACTTTATTTTCATCGTAGTACAATGAAAAACAAAAATCTTCTAGTATAGACTACTTACATTATCACAAAAATTTAATGCTTTCAACTGTTGGATCTGAGGTAATGATGAGAAAAGTGGAAATACTACAAGTCTATTTTTAGTTGAATCTATTTGATCAATATTTGTTGAATGAGATAATTGTTTGATTAAGGAACAACATCGCATAATCTCTTCTTCACCAGTTAGAAAAATTAAAATACCACGGTCTAAAGGAGAATTCTTTGAATTGTGAATCTATTAAGGAAAAAACAGTAACAGTACAAAAAAAATTAGAGTTTAGACAAAAAATTCTCAGTATAAATGAAGACAACATATATGAGTGAATAATATTGTTGTCAATTACATCTTCATCAAGCTTTACTTCAATATACAGAAATATCTATAACCATATATGAAAATATTTGATCGACCAAGATAATTTATGAGTCAATTATAACAATGAAGTAGATTACGAATATTCGCACTTGGCTTTGAGCACATTGCCCATGTGGACTAATGATAATAAACCTACTGGGAAAACCAAAATAGCTGGAGAAAAGGTTGGAATATACCAAGTGATTTAACCACTAAGCCACCGACAAAACAACTTAAGTGATATTGTAGTGAACCAGAACATAGGTGGGGACAATCTAACGTATTTGAACGCAAAATTACAGAATATTTTAGTAAAATCTGAGAACCATACAGTAAATACTACATTTGCAAAATGTCAATCAATTGTTTCAAACTTGATTGTCCCTTTCGTAAATATTAGTCAATCGTCTCAGACCTCATTGTTTCTGCATTTCCATACTAACTGCTTTGTGTTCCCGTTCTTGCCTGCTCGATCTTCTGGACCTTCTGCTGCCAGGCATTATATTCCTAGTGTTATATACTACTTATGTCGGTATAAGTAGGACACATCACAATATTATTCGAGAACGTTCAGATGTGAAATTTACTAATCGTGCCTGTTAAGACTGAGAGACCATGACTGGATAAAATGTACCTACCTTAACCTTGACATCTGTATGCAAATAACATGAAGACACTTCTAAGACAAAAATTAACCCATGAAAAATAACATTGTATTGAGCTTTCGAAATTCTATCTGTGTCAATAACTGGCATGTTAGCCATGTTTACACAATATTCTCACTGAGGTGTTGGCCGAAGTATAGTAAGTGGAAGAGAATCCATAGTGAAATAGTCAACTTTCAATTACCAAGTTGCAAAGGTTGAATCCTGCCTTATGTTCTTCGCCTTGGGTGTCTGACATGTTAAGTCAGTATAGACACATGTTGCCTGTGCTCACATGCTGTTTCAAGGCAACAGATTATGGACGAGGGACGATATTTGAGGAGGCTGATTAAACACCTGGTCAGAATCTCGGGCTGCATGTTCTTTTCTAGATCAGAAGGATAATCCTACATATAACTGTAATTTGTGTATATTCCGATTCAGCTAGGCAATCAAACCTTCACACTCGTCCTAGTCTTTTCATGTGCAGATTGGGTTTGGGATAACGTACAAAGTGCACATCGTAACTAAATCGGACCCCAAAACACAACAGTGACTGAGAGTTCCGCTTAAAGACAAGCACATGAATATGTGCTTAGTCACTGGGTTGCAACAACGGAGTAAAAATAAAACGGTATTGCCAAAGTCGGAAATATACTTACCCGAATACAAACAGAAGCTGCATCCGCCACATAATCTGTTAAAGACTGAGAAACATTCAAGATCTTTATAGGATGCCGTCGACCTTCTATGTATACAACTTGAGTATGATCTGGGCCAAGGAAATTTAAAAAAGGCGTTGGATCGATTGTAGCTGACATAACAATGATCTAAAAAACAAGTGAACATGAAACATACTTCGTCAGTGATACTCAGCGCATTGACAACTATTTTATCTAGGGCTATGAATCACTCCATAATTAGGAAATATAGAGGAAACTACTCGGGATAAAATGACTTAACAAATGCTAGTCAATCCAATAGATAAACTGAGCTCATGAAAACTTTAAAAAATTTAGAGTAAATCAATGTTGCTTCCTTCAGAACAAACCCAATCTGCTGAATTATACTTGTTTCATCCCCATTCTCATCGTTCGAAACATTTCTAGAAGCAATCAAAAGTTAAGATTTTGGTCGCTACACTGTTTTGCACCTAATCGTCTCTATGATCATTTAGCATTTTGACAAAGAAAATAGGTCGTAGATGGATGTCCGGTGGGTAAAGTGTGATCTAATGTGGAAATCAGATCACCTGGTGCATATCAAGATTCAGGGAAGCATTAATGATGTTTTGCGAAGTGCTTTCGGAAACTGATTTTAGAATCATACATTAAGATGTAATATAGTTAAACCCGGCTCTATCGATATTTAGATTTAAGTAACAAGGTGGAAAATCTAGTATTTAGATAAGAAATACACTAATAATCCACAAGTCAAAATGAACTATGTAACAGGCTTAACTGGATTACTCTAGTCTTTCTTAAAACAAATTAGTTTATTTGTTTCCGTCTGATACGTTTATTGCTTTACTGACATTAGTTTGAATTTCAGTGAGCATTTCCAGAATAATGACATAACTATCATTGTAGATCATTCAGATCTGAATAATTTTAATATTTCATATACCTATTGGGTTAGAAAAGAAAAAATCGAATGTAATCTAGTGAATAAAGTTATAAGTTACGAGACATAGGTCTTTTTTGTTCAAAAACCATTAACCTACTATTATATGTTTGAATTGTGGTCATCAGTATGATTCAAGTTACTTATTTTGTCCTATTCGAAACTCGTTAACTGGATGGATGTATCTGCATTGGAATATTTACGTTCAAACAGTAATTTATAACCTTACATATATATATTTCCCAACTTTAGGAGAAAAACTAATTAGGACCGTTCAAGTTATAGTCATAAAGTACACCGAAGAATCGTCATAGTATTTTCCATTCAGTAGCAGAGACTCATACCGTTTCATCCAATATTAAAACGCTTAGAGAATAAAGAAGACTTTCGGTACATACTAATTTGCATCATACTTTCAAATGATATTGATTTTCAGTTGAAAACTATGCATTAATCAATCAATTGCCGTGAATGTCTATAGAAAAATGATGATCTATCAAATAAATATAAGGTTACGGAGTAGTGTGGTTTTCGCATAAACGGAATTATTAAATAAATAGACTTACCTTTAACAAAGGAAGGAACTTTTTGTTATGTTGAATGTCTTTCCTTATACCATTTAATTTACTAGGCAGAAGGGTATTATTAAGATTTTGTTGAAGAGAGTTAAGTTTTGAACGTCTTTTCGCCGCGGATAAAACTACTCCGAATAATATATCAGTATTCAAACTGCGTTCATGAGCTTCATCCAAGATAATAAAACGATAACGTGAGAGATTAGGATCTAGGATAGCTTCACGTAATAGCATACCATCAGTCATATATTTTAAATGTGTGGACTTTTCACTTGACATATCTTCAAATCTTACACTATAACCAACTGGTCCGATGCCAACAGGACCACGATCCATTTCATCTGCAACACGTAGTGCAACACTTATAGCAGCGACACGCCTAGGCTGAAGTAGCAGAAAAAGAATGGACTATGGAACTAAACAATTATAAATATAAGTAATGGCAGAGTATATGGTTACGTATATTCAGTGATTTTTGTAACGACAAAATAAAAACCGCATTTTTTCTCTAGTTTGTCACAATTTATATGTAACCACATTTTTATTCAATATCTATTGTTTTTCTGTATCACTTGTTTAAAAACGATTATAATTGTTTGGATACACATATACGAATATTCTACCGCGTTGGTTGAAATATAAAACGCTATCTCCGCCGTCTGTTCTTCTGCTTTATTGGCCACGACCTTTTATTGAAAACTATAACAGTGTTATAACGTCCTTTTAGGCCTTCCTACAATACGTTGGAATATTGGCCTGGATTATTATTAAATAATACTATTGGATCCAGTCTTTTTCATTACGCCGTCGGTGCCATAACGTGCAGAGGAATCTTCGTTAATCTAGTGAACTCATTTGTGGTTATCTCAGAGAGCAGCTTACAAGTAACATTCATTTCATAATAACTGTTATTACCTTGCTGTTTAATATACCATTTGTATTCTAACTGTAATTTGTTAACTTTTGGTTTTACTCACAGACAGACACCTAGGGTTTTATTGTTAATTCTTTTGATATATTATTAATAACCTTGAGTATTGATATATCTTGAATAAGCTCTTTTGCTGGGATCCACCACAAGTACTTAAACTAGCCTTGTAAGTCGAAAACACATATAAACCAAGACAAACCATGATAAGCTTTATACAAACAACTAGCAAGTTTCCCATTGTCTCCATTTTAACAGGGCACATTATAGGCACATTCCAGATACAGAAATTTATGGACGTAATTTTATTACTAAACGTTAGGATGTAAGATATTAAATGAACTAAGTATACAAATGAGTGAGTTACATTTTCTTCAGACGTATATACGTACATACTGATATTAGGGATTTATTTTAGACACTACAGTGCCTATTACTTTGAAGCAGGATTCTTTAACATTGGTGTTATAACAGCGAATGCTCCGAAGTTTGCAGCAATTAATGAAAACGCTTCAAAAAACGAGAAGTTACATATCAATAATTTGCTATCACATAGATAACTTTTAGAGCCAACAGGATAACATATTAATAATATGCACGTTTCTGGTTATTACAAAGAATGAAGTCATTTAGTCACTAGATTCACATGTATTATACCGTCTTTTATGTAATCTACGTATGTTATCCTGTTGGCTCTAAAAGTTGGCTATGTGATAGCAAATTATTGATATGTAATATGCATGTTTCTGGTTATCAACCAAAGGACGCGTTTACTGCGCAGCAGTTCGTTCCGTCCTACTTTATGGCAGTGAAATATGGCCGGTAAGAGTAGAGGATATTCGTAGGTTACTAGTATTTGATCATAGGTGTCTTCAAAACATTGCTCGTATACCCTGGGATCATCGAGTACGTAACGCAGTTGTTAGGAAACGGGTACTAGGTAAGGATGGCAAATCCATTGATGAAGTAGTGAAACTTCATCAGTTGAGATGGCTGGGACACGTGTTACATATGCCCAACCACTGACTGCCTCGACGTGCGATGTTCAGTGGTATAGGAATAGGTTGGAAGAAAGCTAGGGGGCGGCCAGACCAAAACATGGCACAAATCCATGAAGTCACTGACTCGTGGTCTGAGTCATGTCGGTAGGTGTAGACTATCTGGTTGGGGACCGCGAGATGATAGCAACCGATGGTTAGAGACCCTGAATGACATGGCTCAAAATCGTTTGTAATGGCACAGGTGCATCCACTCTTTGTGTTCTCCCAAATTCTAATCATCTGAATTCTTCATGTCCCTTTTTACCTCTTTCCAAATTTATTTCACTGGATTATACTCCTTGAATAACATCTCTAAACCCTAATCTTCCCGATTACTGCTTATACTCTTACTACCTCTACCACTACGGGATTTGAATTGACAACTGTAACTCTGTGCTAATGTGATATGTACGTACGTACGAAGTTCTACGTTGTTACTGACTGACTGACGTTTCTGGTTAGAACGTAAAAATAAAGATTAAAGATTTTTTGTCCCACTCACTTTGAAGCAGAAAAATTTTCTTTAAACAACGGTAGTCAGTTTTACTAATTAGACGAATCAATAAGCAAACACTAGCTGTAACAGACAAGGATATCTTAGATCATTCGAGCATCAATTAGAAAATTCTAACGCAATTGTGGGAATCTAAACGGCTGCGTATTGAACTATTAGTTTGTCAAGAAAACAATCCCAATGGGAGGTGAACACAATTTAGAGTTGAATGAAAACATATTCAAGAGCTACCCTGTGTTATAGGGGTAATTTCACTAAACGTCTCTGGAAGAAAATTCACATGAGTACTCAGTACCTGTCAAATTGCTTACACAAAGCAATTATGGTAATAATCATTATTAAATAATTAATCACAATTAAACAATACTGCACGATTACCTGAGTTATTGCAATAATCCCCCCATTGGTTAAATTCTTTTCATATAAAAACTGAGGAATCTGGGTAGTTTTACCAGACCCTGTTGACCCAACAATAACACAATGTTCACTTTTCATAATAGTATCAATCAATACATCCTTATGTTTCCACACAGGTAAGGATTGTCTAGTCTGCAACAGTTCACTTTGGTTTACAGGTTTCTTTGAAGCTGCTAAAGTAAAGTATGAACTTTACTAACGGTCAGATGATAATTAAAGACTAGGGAAAAAATAATAAGGGCTTGATATCTCCAAATATAAAACAAGGTTTAAAGTGAGCTTCACTACATAACTACTCTCACTCGACCACTAGGCATGAACGGTAAACTTTAACGTAACACAGTTAATATGAAAATACGAAAGTTAGTAACTGTGCACTCTTTTCGTCAAAGCGGGTAAAAGCCAAATGGTATTGTACAAGATTGGACGAAACTGAACGATAATTTTACTTCTGATGATTTGATGACTAGAAAAAAAGGAAAAGTGCAACCATGTATAAGTCAATGGATCAATAATCCCTGTATATGTTGGTAATAAGGTGGTTTATGGGAACACAGAATACGACGAAATTGAAATAGGTAGACTTTGGCGTGAAATCCGATTCTTCGACCAATGAATTACAACTATTATCAACTGATTAGATTAAAACATAGACGAGAGAAACTGATCACTTCTAAAACATCGCAATGCAAAGATCTGTAAGTTAAAAAGGTAGTGTTATTTACATAATGAAATAGAAATCGGCCAGTCATGATAAACACAGATTTTGGGACAAATTGATGTTAGCCCGGGTAATAAGGAGATAAGAGGACTTATCTACTAACAATGAAACTGAAATTTTTTGAATACCTATCAATCAAAGTGATTGTACCAGTCACCAGACGTATGGGAGACTTGTATGAATTTGTAGTTGCTGTGTTAACTATACAAATTAATTTTCAGTCTAAACAAATCCAAATTTTTCCACTGACAAACCATAACGATCAAAAGCTCAAAGAATTGCAAATCTTCAAATATGAACTTGTGTAAAAAGGTTCGAGTTATTGTCCGAGGGATACTGATACCACGCGGCTCGTCTAAGGGAAGAGATATTGGTGTTTTTATTTATCTGTTCCTGAAGAAATGACGAAAATCGCCCAATTTAAAGAAAATCCACTCTTTTAATATAAGTACTAGTCAACAATAACAAAATTGTTTTTTTTTTATTGAAAGCGAGTTTAATTCGAAAATTGCTTCGAAAATTGTTTTTAAACTGAGGAGTCATCAAACAGGTTGACAACCACACCGAATGTACAACCACTGGTCTAGGAAAACACGTAGTGCTAGCATCTGTGAAGTCTGATGCTGATGTTAAACAATAATATTTAAGGTTGAAAACATCATGACGTTCATATTTTAGTGTGCACGATGATTTACCTGGTAATTCAACTCGCTACACAAGTGCGATCTGTGGGACTACAATTTACGGACGACTTTTGAGCGACACCAAGGTGACCCTGAGCATGTCCACCTAATAACTAGGACAAAACGAGGGTTATGAACTAGTGGAGGAATTAGAATTATGATTTACAGTTGATGGTTAGGGTTAGGAGTTAGATTTATGTTGTTCATCATGATCTGACATCAGATATAATGCTAAACGCTATTTCGTCAAATGGTTGAATGAGTTCCGCGCCAAAATTCAAAACCTGTTATGTTATATCTCATCAATTCGTCCATAAACTATAGTCTTGCCACAATCTCAATACGAGACGACCAGGACTATCAAAATATTATGAAAAACCGCAATAAAAGGAGAATACCTGTTTTAAGTGATATTCCTGAAATATATATATATAACCTAAACAAAAAGCAGTGGAATGTATAGACAAGCTCGAAGGAATGATATTTATTAAGAAAACTTAGTGTGAATTTATCCGATATTGCATCGAAATAACGTTGTTTATCCGACCCCGCAGATTAGTAGAACATCTCTAAATTAAAACCTTAAAATTCGAATAAGTCGACAGAGGATACAAACGTTGGTTCGTATGGACTAAATTTTTAAAAAATTTAGGCTGTTCAGAAGTTACTTTGGAAAGTTATGACGAACACAATAACTGATTACATGAAAAATCAAGCCAAAGTATCAGTGTAGAAAAGTTAGACCTCTTTATTCTGTCCAACGGCAGATTAAGAGGCAACCTGGTCTTGATGTATACAATAGTAAGAATTAATTTCGAGTTTTCATTTGATCCCACCAGATCGGACAACTCAGAGGATATTGAAGGTGAGTAGAACAGCTAAGAACGGACATATAACCCATGGCACACACATTTTCACACCGTGCCGTAAATTCTGAGAACCTGCTACGCGGAGCAGTGGTATATGCACCCTTAATCGACTTATTTAACAGAAGACTAGACACAGAAGCCACTAGGAAAGAAATAACATGTGCCGTAGGCCTTCTGTCCTTACTACACGAGTCTGAACCCGTACAATTTAACCCATGGAGAACGCTGAAGAAAACCTCATAGAAAAATGCAACCTAAAGTGAATAAATTCTACCACAAATAGAAGACTGGACTAATTTTCGATAAAACGAACAACATACTCTTCATCTCATGAGGGTGGCGCACAGAGGTGCATTTGGCGCTAACATGTATGACCTTGAAAAGGACAAACCAATTCAAATAATCCGAAAAGTTCCCAGTCGTTGTATATAATGGTTTTTATGATACCGTAGACATGTAGATAATAGTAGTAGATCACTAGTAAGTACTATATTTTTGTTTCTTCAAGAACAGTGTTACTCACCCGGAACAAATTCAAGGTTTCAAATAGTTTCAAATGGTTAAATGAATATTTCGCTTAACAGGCTACTGTATTTATTAACAGTCGATCACGGATGCCTGCAGATAGGAACTTGGGTATATTGAAGGATAAAAGAGTAAAAATTACCGGTAAATCACAAAGATACTGTTCTTAGTCCTTAAGAATATCGAAGGTGCCACAAGTATTCGGAGTTTGACAACGCTATAACCAGTAACACCTTCTAATATGAACCGTACCCACCAAGTGAAAATCAAAAGACAGAAGCGAGGGGGTTTGAAGACATATTTGATAGGCTATCAATATATCGAGGATCGTCTGATCAACTCTGGCTAGCGATTGCAGGGGATGTTGAGCACGGCGTTCCCACTCGTGATCCGGTGCGGATGCATTACCAAGCGCCTTCAGCTAGGTGAGTCCATTGAAACCAATGTGGTCAGCATCCAATGTCCAAGACTTACAGAGCTATTTATTTTGGGGATTTATTTACAGCTACAATATGTCATGTTTTCTCTCAAAGGAGTCCTAGGAAGTGGTTTGGACTAGTTCATCAGGCACGAATTCCAGCATTTGACTAATCTTACGGTACAGAAGGTATGTTTACTGTCTGTTCGGCTGTGTTTTGTCTCCGATTTCTGCTTACTACTGTAGATCACGAACGTAGGTGATCAATGTCGAATGATTAGGGGTCTATCAGAGTTAGACGGGAATGAAGTGACGAACCAGCTTACGTCGAAGTCACACCTTGCGTTCAACACCTTACGCTGATTACCTCATTGACGTATCAAGGAACTATAGATACTTTGAAGACTGTACAATACAAAGGACGTTATTACAGAAATATAATAATTAAAGTAGATACAAACGAATGTAAGACCACCACCGCGTGGGGCAGTCCAGGACGTACAATTAATTGATGAGCGTTGGTTACCCTTGACCTTGACGGGGATCGATGATCTGTTCGATAATCAGTGATCCAGCTGCAGGATGATTTAGCTAGGGTTCAGTGACATTTCACAGGCTCTACACTATCTCAAAGGCTTGTGTTGGGATTGAGCTTAAATGGGTATTTAAGGGATTGCTCAAAAGTATTTAGGATGTTGTATACCAGTATAAGGTCACCTCAAAGACGCATGCACTCTAACGAGTAAACGTACATTAATTAGAAGCGCTCTTCATAAGAGTATAGAGCATGATTCTTCTGATATGTTTTTAATAAGACAAGCTGTCACCCATTTGTTGAAACAAACATGCTCAATTAATGCGTAGGTAAACTACATGGATGGTGGAAAAGAGCCAAAGATATAAGTATTCACAGATCTATCAACCTTATTACTACATAGTGAAGACTGGAAGCACTTTTGTGATGTTAATTTATCTGCAGATTTCCTCTTGTTGACATGAAATGAATTTTTTTCCTGAGTCTCTAATGCCTGCGTTCATTCTCGACCAGAAAAATTATTTCATTATGAGTACTACAGAAGCTCGCATACTTAGGTATGACAATGAATGAAGTCGCTGATATACCCTTCGCCCGCAAATTCATTGGTAAATAGATAGTCGCTTCCACCAGAACCAACTCACGTAATGGTAGGATCAAAGTAATGAATCGAAATGTATCGGAATACGAAGCCCAACTTCTATGCATTTGCTATTGAAGTCCATTGACCGATGTGAAGTTTCAAAGATTGCTTTATGTTAGGATCTTGCTGATGCAACGAGGCTTTATTTTCACATGAGGGTAAAGTATTCTCTGTGAAACCTCGATATTGTCAGTGGCCTTGACAATACAGTCTTAGTGTCTAGGTTCATGAGGAGGCGATCGTATTACGTGCCTGGTGTAATTAGCGCTGTTACACGCATTTACGACCAATGTTAATCTTTCTAGTCGTTTTTCGTCTATATCTGTGTCCATTAGCGTGCGTGTATGATAGCACGTATGTGTTTGTGTACTTGTTTGTATCCTTTGAGTTTGAAAATATTCAGTCACATTTCCACTGGACTGAGTAGGCTGGGAAGTATTTCTTAATATTGCACCTCTGATAAACTATTTGGATAGATGAACGACTGGAATAAATTCTGTCAACTCAATTCGTATATATCATTTATCACCGCTGTTGCTCAAAAATGTTGGAAATATAAACTTAATCGAAGAATTTATGTTTCATGGCACATTCATAATGAGGTCGATGTGCTACCACTAAAGTGGCGAGCCCAGCCTAACTATACCTAAATGCCTAAAGAATATTTCATAGTTTATAGTTGGACAGAACTGTACATGTACGACCAAAAGGAGGATAGCTGAGAAGGTTGCCGGCTGGATATTTCACCAGGAATTAGCAACCAAATTCGCGCTAGCGCTTCTGTGATGGATCTAGGAGTCACTATGGGCCCTGTACGGGGGTGGCCCTGTGGGGTCGGTTACTGTGTTAAGCCCATATACCTTATTCTAACTTTCGAACAGGTCAATCTATTTATTCTACTTGAGTCATATTTTGACCTTGTTAATTATTCACTTATCACTCTTGACTGTTTTACATGAGCGTATATTTGTGCACACTTATTATCCCACTATTCATCACATGTCTGTAGCCCATTTTTGTGTGACTATAAATATTGATTAACGCTTGACTAAATGGAGTTGGCTTAGCCGCTGTCTTCACTGCGCGTCGTTTCGCTTCGCTCTATTCCATTCGCCTCTCCAATATTTTGTCTAGATCAAAGACTGTATGGAATATACGTATTCGAAATTCATTCTTGTGTTTGACTTGTTTAATTCCGTTATTGTCTTACGCTATTCAAGCCGATGATTATATACGAGGATAGGTGACATATACATTACGACGGAAATCATTCAATAACAATCATTCATACGATCTACTTGGAGTCAGATCCCCAAGTCACTGAAGTTCTACCATTTACCTGTTGTTGAGCAAATGCTTTCATTACTGTTAGTGGAGCATAAGTACATAAGAGTAGGTTAGTCGAAAAGTGTTTGTTTGAATGTGATTGAGATATCGTATGGTTGAAGACCACCAAAAATATATCATACGTAATCCATTGGTACATCAAGACGGAGTTATTCAGACCAAATACCATTACTGAGAAGTCAACCTAACTGAAAGCCATCATAATGGCTGTTTTGAAGATTATTTAGTACTGAAGAAACCTCATGATTCCCTGCCAACTATATCAAAATTGCAGTGAACTTATTTTCCGTAGAGAGTTGAAGGATGACCGCGTAACTGAGATGTTGAGCAGGAATGTGATGATTTGATGTTAAAGTATACAGACCTGTGTATCACCTGTTTCTCAGCAAAGTGGTGTGTCAGCTCAGCTTTACTTGTCTTCTGAGGTTTCTGTAAACAACAGTTACCTCTTCATGACCACACTTTTTAAGTTATCTGAATAATTAGGCGACGAACATTAGCTGATACACCGATGCACTTAACAATAACTGGTATAAAAATGTCGATAAATTTCGTCCCAAGATGTTAAAGTTTATCCTGTCAGTATTCTTATTTTGGTAAGAAAAAAACTACTGTATTTTATCTGTGAGACCAGGGTTATTGAACTACCGATGATGGACAGATCTGTGAACCATAAATCAAGAAAACCAGAAACCGATCAGAGTGACCATGAAATGTGATTCGCTTAACTGTGAATCTTTTTGATCTGAACAACATTTAACCATAGGAGTTTCGATATGGAGATTTGCGTTCTATATCCCTCTCACCAATTCCTAACAAACTTGGTGACTTCATTTTTTGTCCCAATTTGTTCATACAATGTAAAATCAAGTGTCGAGTGGCGAGCCATTTATTTCTTTCGGGTCGTAAAAGGATTCGAAGACTGTACTGTAAGATCCAATTTGAGTGTCTTGTGTGTTTGTGAAAATCCCTCCATGTATATACTTACACTTTGTTGCTATTGATTCTTTTAGTTGTACATTGTTAACTTTTTGACTACATTTGAATTGTTAATATTTGTATTTTATTATGGTTTCGTTTTTTACTACACCTTCACCAATTCCCCATGTTTCTTCCCGAACTGCACTTATGTTGTTTTACTTTATACTAAGTCTGGGCGGCAGCCATTTTGGTTTATCCCTGCTTTTGATTGCTTGACCTGTGTTGACTGGAATTGTGCATTTTGGTTGTGAATTGAAGCACTCTTCCAGAATTGAAAACACTCTGTGTTATAGAGCGACCGATTATTACGTTTTGAACGAATCTGTACGTGATCTATCCGGACAGGATAGAATAACATTTATTTGTGGTGATTGATTTAATTGATTGAACAATCATTGGTTGAATAGCCGGGTGATAATATTTGTTTAGAACCGCTAGTTACTCGATTACTTGTTCTGATTTCGACGGGAAAGGGCGCGTGTCTAAAATCCCCGGTCGGCTATTCTTCAACATCCAAACCGTAGTTTGGATTCTACAGTTCTAAACAATTATTTCTTGGCCGAAATCCTTTGGTAATCGTTCACGGATTTTCTGGAAATAATTGGTCGTGTCGGTTATAATGCCAGTTAATCATCGAAGGAGATCAGACTCAAAGTTCGTCGATATTAACGAAGAATCCCTTATTGTCAAGCAAGTGCCTTTTGACGTCCCTAAGGGTCATGGTTCAGACTTAAATAGGGTTAATTTTCATGGCAGTGATTCTAGCCTTAATTCGATGTCAGATGATGTAAAAAATCTTAGTTTAAAGGAGGAGCAAAGGCCTGAATTACTAGGAAAGAGCATGTCGTCTATAGTTCATGTTGTTGGCCCAGAGCTACCAAAGGTTGAACTGAGT